CAGCGGATGGTGTTAATGGTCAGAAAAAGGCCCCTGCCAGTACTGGCTCCGAGAAGGCCAAAGATACAACAGCCCAGTCTTCGGTAAGTAATACGATGATGCCCCTGTGGAGCACAGCTATCTTGAGATTGCGCAAGTGCATTTGTTGTATGAGACGTGTACTGATTGCTTTTGGAATAGGAGTTTTCTCAAACTCGAGACAGGCATGATGGCCGCAGTGAGAGAGGTCGAGGCAATTACCGAGGACGAGGTGCCCATCACGGCCATTCACAATCTCAGCATGCCATCTCTGCATCCGGATTCCATGGCCAAGGCGCCAACGCTGCTAGATCTCAGGGTTACAGCCCCCCCTTGCGACAGGGTGGTCATGGTGGCATGTTCACGCCTCCTTCTCAGCGAGGCCGTGGTCGCAATGGCGCTAACAACTTCCATCGTGTATCAGTGCCGAACGGCGGATCTCGTATGCCTGTTGTGCAAGCTCAGTATTCGCCATATGATTACTCCATGGCCGCGCCCATGGGTGCAGTCCCTTTCCACTCCCTTCCATTTGATAACTTGCTCGTCCTCACGATCAAGACTCAAATTGAATATTATTTCTCCATTGAGAACCTCTGCAAAGACGAGTACCTTCGACAGCGCATGGATTCCCAAGGATTCGTCCCTCTCCACTTCATCAGTGCTTTCTCGCGCATCAAGCAGCTGACTGTGGACATGAACATCATCCGTGCTGCTTGTGAGGATTCGACCGAAGTCGACTACGTGGTTGGCGACGATGAGTGTGAGCGACTACGTCGGCGACACAATTGGGAGCATTTCGTTTATTCTATGGAAAATCGAGATGAGCTGGCCCGCAATGCTGGCCCTTCAAGTGTCACTTTCAAGAACAGACACTATCATTTCCCTGGCGGCCAATTTGACGACATCGCTGCTTTGCCATATGGCGCACATGCTTATCCTCATGGCCATGCTCTCCAACAATTCGCACCACATGACGCAAACGGCGTTGTTCAAAATGGCAACACGCAGCTTTCTGCGGCTGTTCCCGACTTCTCACCTTCCGGAACAATTCCCCTTGTTGGCCCTCAGGGTGAAGTCCAAGTCACCAGCGTTGAAGCTTTGACCAACGGTAATGCTGAGCAAACTGCGCCACTTACCAACGGTGTGCATAATGGGGAGGCTTACACAACGCAATCGTAGCCCCCCAGCGGAATGGAGTACCGGCTGTGGCAGTGATCTCTTATCATTTTCATGCTTGCAAAGTGGCGTATATGAGAGAGTTGCTCTTTTTTTCTTTTCTTTTCTTTTCTTTTCTTTTCTTTTCTTTTCTTTTCTTTTCTTCCCCGCTGGGTCGACACGAATGACGCGATCCAGATTTATAAGTGTTTATGATTTTCATGCTGTGGCCCGGAGCTAGCGTCATATTCACCATGAACCAGAGCATGTTACGATTGCGATTCCGTTTGTTCATAGGTCTTGAGTGAAGCAGACCGTATGGATGCCTCGAGGGTTCACATGTAGCACTCGGCTATTCTGGGCCAGGGAGCAAACGGGTGGTTGGCGAGTGCTTGATAGGAACTTGCGTTGTACGTCATAGTGCTATAAGTGCACCACGGGGCGACACGAAGTCTATGCCTACGATCACCCACCTCCTATCAGAATCGCTTGAAGGAAGAGAACGACGTACACGAGCGACAGATATACGATACCCTGGTGCACGAGGCTATAATGAAAAGCCAGTAACCATTGGAGAGGAGAATTCGGAATGAAGGTTGGCTTAATAGCCTGATGTATTGGTTTCTGTTGGGGCGTATTCCAAGGATGGTTTTGTGAAATGCGAAGGCACGCTACAAGTTGGAAAGGAGTGCGTCAGAACCAGCACTACATGCGAGGGAGTGCGACTGGCGCTGGGTAGTTGTAGTGATAGGTCACAAGAGGCGAGCAGCAAGTGTTGCTGGATGATTGCTATACCCGCTACAATGGATGTTCACAGGGGGTGGTCGATTACGACGGCATATTTAAAAGGGTTATCATCGTCATCCCGGATGAAAGAAAAAGGCATGGGTGGAAAAGCATATGGGCGTACGGTGACATTTAGCTGAACTGCAGCATCTTTTTTTTTTCTCGACTGCATATGAAAGGGGTTCAAGGATGGTTTCAATTTGGACTTGGTTCTGATTTTACTCATGGTTTCTGATGTTAGAGGGGACTCTCCAAGTTTTGCTAAAAAGAAATACGGAGTTTTTATTCCAGTTTCAAAAGTTGTACAATAGTTACATTATAAAAGAAAGAAAAAATCATGTCGAGAAACAAGAGGCTACTGTTAGTATTGAAATTTACTGGGTGCTGCTGTATTAATGCTGCCCATCAAAGGTGGATGATTATCACGATTACTATCAGCAGTCGCGATTGCTAATGCATGGTAGGCATAGGCGAGCTTCCTTCGGAATAATGTCTACTGTAGGAAGCGCAATGGATTATTGGAATGTGTGCGAGTTCGGATTGCATGAGCATGGATATTTTGTCAGCCATTGTTCATTCATTCATTCATATTCATAAGAATCATATTGGCTGTCATGACAAGACCCGTTAGTTCATCATGTTGGCGGGGTTGAGGGGTTATCTATTAACTTTAGGGTAGCTGAATTGCACGGCCCGCACTGGACACTTGTGTCATGAGGAGGATATAATATTAAAGATCGGTCTTTACATCTCAAACTAACTCCTTCCACAAGATATCATCAAATATCATTATATTTGTCATGTCTTATGACTTTCGTGTGATGTTGTATCAGGTCTGGGCGCCCCGGTTGAGGATGGGAAGATACGTCGAAAAAGTGTTGCAGGTAACGGCTGTCCTAACATTCTATGAAGTGCCTCGCCAAGCTGATATGACCTAAGCAGTAGAGCGAAGGGATGGATGTATTGCCATCTACAATTCCAGACTGAACAAAGTAGCTAACGCTCATTGAGAAAGAAGGAAAAGAAGCGAGACGCATTGCTGGCGGCTACCCAAGAAGCGGCTCGAAATCATACTTGGCAGCTACGTATATAGACTGACACGGCATAACATGGTAGCTGGCGATATCGTTCAGAGGCACATACCCAAATGACATCCTGCTGGGCCTGGAAATGACAGTGTCCTGTTCATCCACCCTGGCCTTTGTTTGGGCGTACTATAAAGCCAGGCGTATGCTTCGCAATGGGAATATACCCGGAGTTAACAGCGGGAGCGAAGGACATGAAGAATTTATATAACTAGTTGACTGATGTATGTCACGAAACACCTGTTGTTTGGGACTAGGGCATGATCGACTTGGCATGATGATTCTGCAAGGTGGAGAAGAGCCTTGTTACTAGGTAGGTATGGAGAGTCCCTGTCATTGTCCATACGGAGAATCTGATCCGGTGAGTCATTGTGTGCTGATCTCCTTTCCGTATATCCTGAAGCACTGCACGGAAGATATCGAGATGAAGCAAAATTACCATTCGTTGTCGGCAAGATGAGGCCATCGTGAAGCTCAAGGATGAGCCGCATGATGGAACCCCGGCCCCGGTGACCGAGATTGAGGAGAGTCAGGGCCAAGGTGTGATGAAGGAGACGCAAAATACCGTGCCCACCTAGAAAAAGGGAATGAAGCTATCGTCAGGACACATTGGCCGATGGATCAACTGGGCATCAACAACACGGCAGCGGTGCCTTGCAGAAATGTCAAAGCCGGAGCATGCCCGGAAGCCGGATCCCCAGAAATTACCTAAAGTGGAAATGGCTGAACAAGACCTGCAGATTACAACATCCACAGCAGCGGGCAGCATTACGTCAAGGAAGCGTCGCTAGAAATTTTAAACATGACAGCCTCATCAGCGGCAAATGGGACAGCAACAGCAAAGTTTAGTGCCTATAGCTTGTTGCGGGATGAGTTTGCGGGGATGCAGCATCTTGAAAGCGGAAATTGTCCAAGTTGGTAAGATATTACCTTACCTTAGACACCCAGGTAAGGCAAAGAAATTGGATAAATTAATTGACAAGCAACAAAGAAGTCTTTGATAGAGACTTTGCCATGCGCGGAATGAAATCTCCGACCACAACTGATCAGTGGGAGAGGGGAACATGAAAAAACAAATTGCCATCTAACGCATTGACAGTGATTAACCTACTGACTAGGTACAGAGTAACTCGTGTAAGTAATGGCTGAAGAGTCTTCCTTCACCTTGTAGCCACCAAAATACGTCCTCATGCAGAGAAGCTTCTAAATTCTGCTCTAAATCTCGATATAAGCCGCCTGATTCGTCATTGACCCCGAATGCCGTGACATATTCCACGTGGGGCCAGGCTAGGATATTGACTTGGGTGAATAAAGTGATCAACATACAAGGTTGAATTTCAATGCTTTCTCGGGCCGCCATGTTGGAAATATTCAGCCTCCCCACGTTATCATAGCAAGGGAAATCATCTTTGGACTGCTGTATCGTCCTGACGCGACCATTGTGAGTGGTTCATAAACTTACCCCGTCCCCTCAACTGCAAAACTCGTCGAGTTACAGTCATTTCACGAACCCGATATATACTACTTGTGGGTCCGGGGAAAACAAAAAGGTTGAGGGGGGCGAGACCCAGCGCTGATACAATATCGGTCCGGAGGGAAATAGAGATGGGAAAAAATCAGCCGCGAGCTGGAGACTGATATCAGATTCGGAGCTGACCTCCGGTTGGTCTGGGGAAGAAGGCTTGGTGCTTGTGGTCGGTATACCTTCATCTGGAGAACTTGACGTCAACAAGGCCAATGTGGTGGAGATTCTTCTCCTCGAGGGTGGAAATTGTATGTTAGAAAACAAAACATTTCATCATGATGCTTAAAGAAGGCGTAAGGCTTGAGAACTTATAAATAAAGCATGTGCCCAAGGCCTCCGTTGTTACCAGCTCAGACATATAGCGCTTTGGCTACCTACATTCTCCAATCTCATCACTTTCCAACCACCTACAAGAGCGTCAAAGCTACAAGATGACAGCTCAAGTGGGCAGAGCCCTCTCCTACATGACATTCAAGCCCGATATGGGCACCAGCAAACATGAAGCTCCTTATCTCAATGAAGAAGGCTATGTCGACTTCTCGCCCGACGATCTCGAGAACCCGCGAAACTGGTCCCTCAAGAAAAGATGGGCCATTACCTGTATCGCAGTATTTCTCGCAATGAACGGAAACTTTGCATCAAGCATATTTTCTGGCAGCATCGGCTCTGTTGTGGAAGAGTTTGGAGTATCAGAGGTTGCTGCAAGCTTGACAACTACAATGTTTTTGCTCGGCTTCTGCGCAGGGCCCTTTGTCTTTGCGCCTCTTTCGGAGTTTTACGGTCGTCGGTGGATATTCTATATCACTTTTCTTGCCTATATGGCCTTCAACTTTCTCTGCGCATTCCCTACAAACTTCGGATCACTCCTCGTTGGACGATTCTTGGCTGGTGTCTTTATGTCTGCGCCTCTGAGCACCACCCCGGGCGTTCTGGTCGACCTCTGGGACCCTATTGAGCGAGGAAACGCCACAGGAATCTTCAGCTTGGCTTCTTGGGTTGGCCCATCACTTGGGCCGGTGGTGTCCGGTTTCGTCCAGCTTAAGAAGAACTGGCGATGGGGCATGTACTCCGTCTTATGGCTCGGAGCTTTGACAGTGCTTCTCATTTTCCTGATCCCCGAGACGCATGCGCCGACCATTCTAGCGAAAAAGGCAAAGCGTGCCCGAAAGTCTGGAATTGCTGGCTATGAAAAGGTTATAATGGAGGGAGAAGAAGATAAACCTTCCCTCGCCCACGTCTACAAGCTGGCCCTCACGCGACCTTGGATCCTCATGTTCGATTTGATCTCCCTCCTCTGCTCTATCTACACTTGCATCGTATTCACTCTTCAGTTCATGCTCTTCAGCATCTACCCTATTGTATTCAGAGACATGAGAGGCTGGAACGCTGGCGTTTCGCAGCTCCCTCTCCTCGGCCAGGTCGTTGGGGCTGTTCTTGGAGCCATAGTCATCTTCGTTGACAGCGAGCGGCGGCGCAGCAAGGAGGCGGCTGGTAAGACGCTGCTGCCAGAGGATCGGCTTCTCATGGCTATGTTTGGAGGTGTTGCGTTCCCTATCACCATGTTCTGGCTCGCATGGTCTGCTAATTACAAGTGAGTCTCCAGCTTTCCATCTTTCTACACAAGTAACAGCAACTAATACATAACAGCGCTGTTCCTTGGATTGTCCCGACTCTTGCGGGCACTTTCCTCTCTGCCGCTCTAATGCTCGTCTACGTTGCTATAATCAATTATCTTACCGATACGTATGCCCAATACGCAGCTTCCGTCATAGCGGCCAACACAGTTGCTCGATCGGCTGGAAGTGCTGCCGCTCCCTTATTTACGACCCAGATGTTCACTGCTCTTGGTGTAGGTGGTGGAGGTTCTCTTATCGGCGGAGTTGCGACTCTTCTGGCAATGATCCCGTTTGTTTTCTTCTGGTACGGTGCTCGTATCCGGAGAAAGAGCAAATATGCACTTGTGGAGCCAGATCAAATGGAGAAGATGGACGAGGAAGCCGATCCTACAGACTATGGTGTTCAAGGGGAAGAGACTCAGCACACAGGTGATATGGATGAGCCAGCACACAGCAAGCGTTCCGAGGATGCATGAGAAGGATAAAGTTTGACGGCGTTTTGGCCTACGGAATTTGTATATTACCAATAATATGTAATGAAGAGACCAAAAGTGGTAAGAAATTGGGTTTCTTTCAGTCTTCAGGAGTTCTGGGCCCATCACAGAAGGATGTAATGGTTTGGTATGGTTCTGATCCATATAAGGTTATTTTAGACTTAACTTTGTTCATCGTTAAGAATATTACTACAGAGTCGGTTAAATGGTTTACAAGATCTTGCGCCTTTACATCAATTTCCTAGGTATATTTTACTTTGGTCACTGTATCCAATTGCGATCCGCCATCTCAACATGACAGGAAAGAAGCTCGTCTGTTGACTACCTACCTAGGTACCTAGGTACCTAGTATGTAGGCTATCGCTACGTCAGTGGTGACATAAAACAGACGTATGAAACACAGCCAGGTCAATCTGATAATATTTACCAAATGGTGAGTCATTTGCAGTAGCCGATAAGGCTGAATTGCAAAAAGCGCGGTGTTGGAACGGCATGACCTATCAGGTCGAGTTTACAAGCCCCCAACATGGTTTGTATATCTACACAGTAACAAGGGCGTCATTCGTAACAGACAGGTCTTCAACAGCGGGCATGACAACCAAATAATTCTGGATCTGGTGATGAAATTTGATAAATCCGATACACACAGGCACTATTGGTAGTTGATGTGTTGTGGCTGATGCAATAAGGACACGGCTGAGCTGGTCATGAACTCTCATCAGCAGGCATCCTGGTATCCTCTGTTGCGTCACATGTTGTGTCTCAAGTGCCATGTCAAGTCAAAAGTCAAAAGTTAGACAGGGACACGGGATGGGCTGAAAGAAAAGCGGCGATTGGTTGATCTAAAATCCCGCCCGGCTCGTCTTACGCTCAGCCGTTGATTTTAGACCAAGTTTCGCAAGGTGACAAGCGTTTCTAGAAAAGAACAACTCATCAGAGTGGCGAAATGGGTTCGAGGACAAGCACCGCATCGAATATGCAGGTTTCTGAGGTACCACGAACCTAGAGTATCCCTTCGAGGAACGACTTCTGAGCCTCACTTTGCAGAGATTGAGACGATCTTTGCTGCTTCAAGTGAGATCTGGGGACGGCATATCCTAGTTTTGGGAGCCAATTACCAAGGTTGGAGAGAGCCTCACTCTGAACAATGCCTACGGGGGGCTCAGTCAAATCCATGGATCAAGACCAAGGGCGGGCCCGTCGACCTGGTCAAAGGTTAATGTTGACTTCCCCAAAAGGGCGGAGAAGAGCCGGCTTCGATTTTATCTCCGGAGCTGTTGTTTCAGCAGAATACTCGGTGTTGCCGGGCGTTGAGATGTTGCAAAGTGGAAATAATTGCATGATAACTGTGGCGCAAGGCGAACCTACCCTCAAGGGGCAAGAAAACACCGAACCTTGATATAAGGTGTCAAAATAAACTCATTAAAAGCTATCCTAAGCTTAGACTATATTACCTAAGTCTTTTTGTTATTTAGGATCGAGGTTCTGTGTTTTCTTTCCTCCCCTAGCCTACCTAAGAAACGAACCTACCTAAGCCAGGCTGTGCTGTGGACGCTGGACGCCCAGCCGGTGCCCAGCGTGCCCAAGAGCTTCTAGTGGGCCTTACAAGGCCGCGACCCCTGTCGAATAGCGTCAGCGTTGTGCGTCCAAGTTGAGGTATACCCCCCTCCTCATTACGTCGTTGGTTTCGCCCCGCTTGTACGGTTGAAAGCTACGAGGACAGAGGAGAGAGAGAGAGGGAGACAGAGTCTTGGTTGTTAAGCAGAACAGTCTCATCATTATAGTAAAACTTAACACGAAGCCTAAGCTTCTGAACAGCCTAATAAGGTAGTCTAACCATAATTGTCGTCTCTGAATCTCGTCAACGGTCCATCGCAAGTCAGCAGGGAACGCCTGGTTTCCGTTGCTGCCTTCGGTGTCCTATTGATGCCCATCCCAACCAACGCCAAACAGGTTCAGTGCTGCCCACTGTTAACCATTCTCTACACTTGTCGACAAGACTCACAGTAACCCACCCGACCTCATTGATTCTGGGTAGGTGCTGCGTACTTACCAAGTCATGTACCTTAGTAGGTACATACTGTACTTCCCCCTTGTTGCAGCATCAAAGGACCCTGTTTTTGCTTGGCTAGGTTGTGGCTGGGTTTCTCTTGCTGCTTTTCTCTGACTTATCCCTCCCGCCACATCCTCGTCCTTTTCCTCTTTACATCGACAGAACCCGTCAACTCGGTATTGTAACATCATCGCTTACCATCACCATAAAGCCACTTTCAACTATAACCAACACCAACTATTACACAACTGCACAACATAGTAGTGACATAAACCGCACACCATCCTCATGTCAAACTACGACCCGTACGATCGGGATTACTCTCGCCGCTATGTGCGGGAGGAGCGTCGAGAAGAACCCCGCTATCTCGACCCTCGAGATTCCTTCAACTCAAAGACTCATCGGGAGATCGTTCCTCGCGGTCGCGAGGACAGCGATCTATCGATAGAAGAGGTCAGACGGGACTTTCCCCCTCCTGGTACCCGTGATATTCGCCGGGCCCGATCCGCCGGCCCAAACTACTACGAGGAAGAATATGAGTATCGCCGGGGCTACGACCCTCGCGATCGCGACTATGACCGCCGTTCCCACAGAGGTCACTCCAGCCCATACTACGAAGATGAAGAGCGCGAGCGCAAGCACAAACCCAAGGGCATGTCCAAGAATGAGAAGATCATTGCAGCCGTCGCCGGTGCCGCCCTTTTGGCAGGTGGTAAGGAACTATACGATCGCCGCGAAGCCAAGGAGGAACGCACTGAAGTCCAACGCAATCCTCTGTCAACTGCAGCTCTTGCTGGAGTCGGTGCCTTGGCTGCCTACCAGGGTGCACAATTCTACAATAAGCAGCAGGCCAAGAAGGATCAAAAGGCCAACATGATCCTTCAACGCGGCCGCGACGGCTATTATAGTGATTATTACTCTGATGAGGACGAAAGTCCAAGGGAGAAGAAGGGACACAAGAACTTTCTCGAGAGCGCCATCGCAGCTACAGGTCTCGGCGCAGCTGTCAAGAGTCTCACTGGTGGCGGCGGAGACGATACCAGGAGTCGCCGGGGAGGTAGTCCCTCCAGCGAAAGATCTCGTTCTCACGCCGGTGGTGGCGGCGGCGCCAACAAGATTCAAAAGGCAGCTATGGCTTCCCTCCTTGCCGGCGCCACAGAGGCCTTTCGTGTTGCCAAGGAGCCTGGTGGCTGGAAGGGTGAAAAGACGAAGCGTATTCTCACCGCCGCTGCAGGTGCTGCTGCTGTCGACACCGCAACTGATGACAAGGGAGGAAAGCTGGGCTTGGCTGAGTCTGTGATTGGTGGCTTAGTCGGCAACCGCCTAATTCGTGGTTCCAGAAATGATATCGAGGAGGATCGCAAGACTGGCCGCAGCCGCTCACGCTCGCGAGCTCGCTCCAAGTCTCAGGGTGGTGGCAGTGGAGGCGCAAGCGGCCTTGCTGCTCTTGCAACCGCTGGATTGGGCGCCCTGGGTGCAAAGAAGGTTCTTGATCGATCTCGATCGCGATCCAGAAGCCGTAGGGGACGAAGTGCCTCGTATAGTCCATCCCCAGACAGGCGCCGTCAGCGAAGCCGCAGCCGTAGTGTTGTTGACAAAGCTCGCAACGGTTTGGCCAAACTAGGCCTTGGAGCTGGCGCTGGCGCCGCCGCCGCTGATGACTATCACCGGCGCGACCAAGATGACTTTAGCGACCGCGGTGGCAGCCGTTCCCGCCGATACTCAGACGATATGTACGATGACCGTCGATATGGAACCAATCGAGATTATTACGATGATGATAGATCATACAAGAGCAAGCCCCGAGAGAGAAGACGAGGAGGGCGTTCTGATTATTCCTCTTCGTCATCAGACCTAGGGGATTCTGATGAGGATGAGAAGCGGGCAAAGAAAATGAGAGGTAAGCAACTTATCACCACAGGTTTAGCGGCAGTAGCCACTATACACGCAGCGCACGAGGTATATTCTAGCATGGAAAAGAGAAACGCACGTCACAAAGCAGTCAAGGAAGGACGGTTGAGTGAGATGGAAGCCAAAAAGCTCAAGACCAAAGCAATCATGCAAGACGCCGCATCAGTCGGTATTGCTGCTATGGGCATCAAGGGAGCCATCTCCGAGATGAAGGAAGCCAAAGAGTTGACACACGAGTGCAAAAGTTTCCAACAAGAGAAGGCTCGTCGTCATGAGAAGCGAGTGCAAAGGCGCTTACGACAACAGTCAATGAGTGACGGCAGGAGGAGAGCAGACAGCTGGGCTCCTTCGTCTCGACGGCATGGGTACGACTCGGATATCGAGTATGAATACTTTGACCCTCAAGACTACGGAGGCAAACCTTACAGAGGCAACACCTTCCCAGCAGAGCCGTATGGTACAGACACTTACGGAAGGAATCCCAACGGTCTGCCATCTCCTTACTAAGAGCCTGACTGGGTGTTGGGCGCCATCCACGCTTACTCACCCATACCACTACAAACATCTTAAATCATGACTTATGACGAGACGACTTATTTGGCTCATGAGAAGCTTGGGCCAATCAAGCAGTGTTTTTCCTTTGGACGCATGGCAATGAAACCCCCCAGAGAGTAATTGGAAGACTAGAAAGAGAAGGAAACGGTGTTATAATGGCCTGTTGCGCTGCGTGGTGTGGCTGGCATTTGTTTTGCTGAAATTCCTCTGCATCAGATAGATGAAGCAGATTTGCTTTCTCCCCGCAACCTCTCCCACGTTTGTTTCACATGTGTATTCAAGACGAAGACTAACGACGATGATTAAAATAGACCATCGCCGATACTAAGCCAGTGGCCCGATCCCAGCAGGCACAGAAGCAAAAACGAAACTATATCTCGGCACACCGGCACATACGTGCATATCTGTCCAACGATGAGCTGCTCTATTCTGGTAAAGTTGATGAATGGGGTAGGGTCTAGTCGACGACTCAAAACGGGGAAGCAAGCGAGAGTGGCACGAGTAGACCCAACGAGATGGGAAGAGATGGGCGGTAAGAAAGGATCGGGACGCAAACGTGGTGATAACAAATCACTATATGCACGATGATGAAGTGGTGGGAACTCGGGTAGGCGGTCTCGGGAAGAACGGCTTTTTGGAACGACGGGGGCTTGCAGATCAAGACTCGGCGATTGGACCAAGTGCGACAAGAAATCAGGAATGGGCCTGGATGAAGATGGCAAGACATCTCTTGAAAGTTAAAGGTATATGGGCATACGAAAAGATGTATATGGATGGCATGATGTGTTTGTTTTTTTGTTCTTCTCCTTTTGCCATGTTGGATATCTGGATGAATAGCTTGTTATGCTGATAGCAGATGATGAGGTTTACGGGTGTCGATTTACCGGCCCCCAGAATACCTTGACGAATCATGACCTATAATGAACGACTCTGGCTTATAATAAACCCTGTTACGTCTTTGGTGTTGATGAAACGATATTCATTCAGCTGTTACTGGGTAATGTGAATGGCAGCGGCTTTCAACAATTAGGTATAGACAAAAGTGAAAACAGTTTGTTCTCCCTCGATCTCACTACAGTCTTCCAAATCTATTCTGTACCTGTCGCTCATCGTTTGATATCCCGTACGTACTCCAATAAACTCGACGATGCTTACACCCTGGCCGAATTAGTGTGCAGATTCTTGTTTCTAACAGATCTGAGGCTCAGCTCTGTAACGTCATCAAGCTATGACGTCACTTATCAAGTGTCCATTTCACAGCCAAGCAGCTGAGGTCGTTCAATCACCAGGTGGCTTCAAGGTATGCAGCCCAAGCCGAGTGGAAGTAGTCTGTAGAGGAGATAAGTTAATCGCTTTTACGCAAGGACAAGAGGCTTTTGGTCCCCAACACCATGCAATCCTGTGTTGTGTGGTGGTACATATTCTCGCGATTGGACACAAAAACTGACGCCTCAGTTAATACCGTGATAAATGCTCATTACTGCCTATAGGACACGGCACTGTAGACCAGCTTTGGTGGCCGAATGCTCATACTCAGGCTCAATCTCATGCGCCAAGACCTCCACCCGCCTGTTGTTTCCAGCTCTGCGCCATGGCCAGAAGATTGGACACGTCGGCGGCCTGCTTATCGTCGGCAGGGAAGACATAGTCGATGTATTCCTCCCACGAGTCGTCGTCCAGCTTTCTTCGGCGCTTCGTCTTGCGTGGCATTTGTTTCTGCACAGCCTCCACATCATCTGCTGAGCCGTGTGTACGCTCGAAAGATAGCCAGGCGTTGAGTAACGAAACGCACTCTTCCTTGAGATCTCGGTCTCGCATACTCCTGTGTGCTCGCTTGAATACCTTGCGTGCTCGCTCCTTGGCCTCTTCGCTGACTGGCTGTTCCTCACCACCCTCCTCCTCTTCATCTTCGGGAATGTTGATCTCGAAGTGCGCGTAACTGATCCAGACCTTAACGTGGTCCGTCTTTTCAAGTAGGCGCTCGTAAAGATCTCGCGTCCGCTCGTATTCACCTTCTTCCTCCTCAAAATCGATGTACGCCTTCCATAGAAGCTCCGGCATGTCAAGCTGTTGTTGCTGGACAGCAAGCTCAAAGATGGCGCGTGTACGGTCCAGATCATCCAGACCCCGCTCAAGTTCGGCAAACTTGATCCATGTCTGACAATTTGCTGGGTTATATTCGATGTGCTTCTCATACAGAGTGCGACACCGCACGAACTCGAATAGTTTTCGTTCAAGGTCAACGTAACCGTTGAAGATCTTGTCCTTTGGGCACATGCCAATCGCGCGTCCAAGAAGCTTTCGCGCTGCGGTAAGTTCACCCTGTCTGATTTCGAAATGCGCCGCCATGAGCCAGATTTTAGCAAACGTGAACCTCTTGTGTGGGATCAGACCCAAGCACGTGTTGTAAATCTGCCGTGTCCTTTCAACATCCTGTCCCTCCATCTCTTCCCATATAGCGTAGAAGATCCAGAGATAGATGTATCGCCTCCAGTGCCGCTTCTCCATTGTTGGTGGAACCTGAGCAACAGCCCTCTCGTATATATCTCGAATTCTGTCAGAGTCCTGTGAAGTCTCTTCGAGCTTTGCGTAGTCGAACCAGGCGTCGTAGTTCTTCGGGTTCTCTTTGATAAGCTCCTCGTAATATACCCTCCTCTTGGACAGCACAACATCTTCCACTCCGTCCTTGTCGCCAAATTGTTTCTCGAATGTTGTGTATGCCTTGTGCAAAATCATCGACCTCGATCTTGGTAGTCGGTCCAGGGCATACTTGTATATCGCACGAGCGCGCTCATACTCTTTGAGCTTGGCTTCGAAACGGGCATATGCAATAAACAATTTCTCGTCGACGAAGTCGTCTCCCAATGCCTCCACGGCCTCCCCAAAAACTTCCCGCACTTGGTCGCTGGTACCAAACTCCTCCTCAAACTTGGCCCACTTGATCCAATTCCGGGGCTCGGGGTGAATCATGGTAAAGGTCCGAAAGATTTCTCTTGCTCGCTCGAATTCGCCATATCGCTTCTCAAGCTTTATATACGAGCTCCATGCCGCCTCGTCTGGCTGCCATTGCATCCATCGATCAAATACTTGTCGGGTTCCAGGAATGTTGCCCAACATCTCCTCCATGTAGACATATTTGTACCAGAGCTTGTCAACGCGCGGCAAGCGAGCGACGGCACGATCAAGGAGGTTTCGCGCATGGTTTATGTTCCTCGCCTTCATCTCCGACTCGATGTACCGAATCCATAGCTGAACATTGTTGGGATGTGCGTCGAGTGCGCGCTCAAAGACGGACCGGGCGCGGGCAAATTCCTTCTGCTCCAACTCCCACTGAGCATATCTCAACCAGTTGTTGAGGTTGAGTCGATTGCGTCGCACATAGTCCTCGAACTCTTTTCTCTTCCGTCCTTGAAACTCGTGAAGCTCTTCCAAATCAGCAAATCGTTGAGTGGGGGCCTGCACTCCGACTTCTTGCCGGTCGACAGCTTCTCTTAAAAGCTGTTCGGCACTGATTTGAACAGGCGCGGCGGCCTTGTTCTTCACCCTCGGTGGCCCTCTAGACGACTCCATCGTACGATCGCCAAGTTTCGAGGGCTCGGGTTGATAAATGGCGATTATTTTTTGGAGTGAACAAAGTTTAGATGGATGAAAAGGAGAGTTGAGGTGATGAAATAAAGTTGAAAGTCAACAGCGACGCGACAGAGCAAGGCGCAAAAGTGTGTGGGCAGCCAGCCAATTACAATTCAATGTGACAGATATATCCACTTTATTTGTGTGGCGTTCAGTAGCCTCGCAGCCTAGAAGTGGAAGTATTTATAGGCAGGCACCTTAGTCAAGACAAATTACCTACTCCACAACCTACTCAAGTATTTTGCGACAATCACCGTTGCTCGTTCATAGCATCCTCCCTACACACGACGCCACCATGTCGACTGTCGCAGACGACCTCCTCAACGATTTTGGAAGCTCAGGCGATGAGGTTGAAGAAGAGCTCAACGATGGTCTCATCAAGGATGAAGAGGCAACCGCCGGCAACCGTGACGCCATGGAGGTGGATGGCGGCGCTGAGAGGAAGGACGACGAAGATTCGGATGGTGGATTGAACGACAGAGAAGATTCCGAAGCAACAAAAGTAAAGGTCGAGAAGATGCAACTTGGAGGAGTAAAGGATGTTAGAAGCGTTGCCAGCCTCATGCAAACGCTCGAACCAGTTCTCGAGGTTAGTACTACCCCCTTCAGACCGAGCCGCATCAACGGCCGCATCTTGATGGACGATTCGTTTACATCAGTTCTTTTGACGGATAGCCCTGACGTATTGCCTCGAACGCTACAGAGAATCGCACATTACCGATCGCAAGCCGCGACGCAGAATACCAATGTCGGAAACATTGAAGATCATCCCGAGTATCATCTTCTGACGCAGTCCAACAGCCTTTCAACCCAGATCGATGGCGAGGTTGTCCTCGTTCATAAGTTCATTCGCGACCACTACTCGACGAGGTTTCCTGAGCTCGAGCGACTTGTTACCACGCCACTAGAATATGCCAAGGTCGTTGCCATCATCGGAAATGGTCCGTTGGATTCGGAGAGTATCAAGGCTCTGCAGACTTCGACTAACAACCCGCTTGGAATAACACTCAAGTCCGTCCTTGACGGGCCGTCACTCATGATAGTGACGGTCGAGGCCACCACATCAAAGGGCCACGAGATGACACCCGAGGAGCTTCAGCGCGTCTACAAGGCATGCGATATGGTTATTGCCCTCAACAAGGCCAAGCAGACTCTCGCCGAGTACGTGCAGTCGCGCATGAACATTTTCGCGCCAAACCTGACAGCCCTTGTTGGTTCTCTTACGGCCGCCCAACTCCTCAACGCGGCAGGCGGACTGACAGGTCTCTCCAAGACGCCTGCTTGCAACATCGCCTCTTGGGGATCCAAGAAGAAGCACTCGGGGCTTGCTACGAATATAGGTGTTCGGCAGCAGGGCTACCTTTACAACTCGGAGATGATCCGAGGCATTCCTACCGACTTGAAGAAGCAAGCCTTGAGAATCGTGTCGGCCAAGCTAGTTCTGGCTGCCCGGGTTGATCGCACACACTCCAGTCCGGATGGGTCCACAGGGGAGGAGCTCAAATCAGCATGTCTTGAGCGCCTTGAGAAGCTGACAGAGCCACCTCCCAACAAAGGACAGCGTGCGCTCCCTGTTCCAGACGATAAGCCATCCCGCAAGCGAGGTGGACGACGTGCTCGCAAGGCTAAGGAGGCTCTCGCTGTGACTGATCTTCGTAAGCAGCAGAACCGTATGGCATTTGGCAAGGAGGAAAAGGAGGTCGGATATGGTACTGGCGAGTCAACTGTTGGGATGGGCATGATTGGTCAGTCCAACGACGGCCGCATTCGCAGCACCCAGATAGACCAGCGCACACGCGCAAAGCTCAGTGCCAAAAACAAGGGCTGGGGCGGAAACAGCACCGTGGGTGGTGCTGCGTCGTCTATCGGTGGCTTTGGCCAAGCATCCAACATTGATCTACGAGGGCGCGGCTTACGAGCGTCGGGAGTTGGCAGCACCATCGGTTCAGCAACCGGCACAGCATCATCTTTGTCATTCACGCCCGTCCAAGGTCTGGAGCTCGTTGACCCCAAGATGCAGGCAGAGCTCAGCAAGAAGCGCAAGGCCGAAGAGGACCGTTGGTTCAAGGGCGGCAGCTTCACGCAGGTCGGAGGGTCGTCAGATGGAAGCGTTTTCAAGGTGCCGGCGCTCCCAGCAGCCAAACGTGTCGATACAGGCGCAACCAAAACGAATACCTCGGGATCAAAATAATTATGGCCTCAGTATCATTCCTACACCACGTCAACTTAGTGTCTTAGGGGTCACTGCGTGGCTTGATTGTCATGGGAAAGTTCAGGGTTGTCATGGGAAAGCAACCATTTGCATCATGATGATCATCGCCGATGGTGATCATGATGATCATGTATTACTGTACAACAGCTTGCGGTTCGGGGAACCGGTCCTGTAACAACCCCGCGCGCAGGATTGCTACGGCGCTACCAACTACGACGATCAGCGAGGAATACGTTGGCAGAGTGTAAGGTAAGAAACAGGCGGGCATTTCATTCGGACAGGCGTTTGGCGAAAACGGCGTTTCAGGGAGAGGATCTATGAATCCCAGGAGCGGAGCAGAATGGGAAAGTAATTAGCTCTCTATCTCTGGTAGTTTCGAATGGGTCTGACTGGTTACGACATGCTGTCCTTGATCCGGAATGTGATTAAACACGAGACCGTAATGTTGAGAAACCGGCTTGGATAAAGCTGGAAACTAAGGCAAAGTCGTTAGTAGGTTCAAGTTTGCCGTACAGTACTCCATACAGGACAGTAGCTGACACGGGCACCGGGGTGTTTAGTCCAAAAACGGGCTGACCAAGGAAAAATATAAATCACAAATCTCGATCGATCGACAGTGATCAGCAAAGTTGACCATCAACGTGACCTGTCAAACGGGCAACATGGTCGTAGCATATTGGTCCTTTCTCTGACGGAAAGAATTCTACGTCGCATCACGAGAGGCCCTTTGTGCTGTGCATAGGGATTCCTTTCCTTTCGCAGTTACACTAGGGTCATGTTCCTAGATTCCGGACGTATTCACTTATGTACGTTGGCATGGCGCGGCCGTTTATTACTGCTCTTCAGGCTGAGTGAGGGTCAAAACAAGTTCCAAGTTGCCTATCAAGTCGCAGACACAGCCACAGTTACAAGGTAACAGTACAGTTTATGCATAGGTACAGTAGTACTAGTTGTTCTTGTCTCGACAAGGATACGATACTGGCACACCGCCAGAAACATCTGTTTCAGGGTATCGAGATATGAGAATTTTGTCTCAGTGCTCTCTTTACGACGCATTGCTCCTCCAGCTGTTCCAATGCCACATATTTATTGGAACAGACGAGCAAAGTTGGCATGGCGCACCCTCAAAGTCGACTTGGCTGATCGAGTATCCATTTCCTTGTTTCTGGGCGATCCACGCACGGTGTGGCATGGTGACGCAAAGAATGTTGATATATACAAACAGCCTGGACTTTAACAATATGAAAAGGCGATGCCACTATACGCCTTAGGAATATAGGTGGGGGCGTCAGAGAGCACCAGTTTATCTGTGGTAGTATATATTGTAAATGAAGAGTAGACACATGCGATGTAGTGGGTTTAGGTTAGCCGAGAAGAGTATCAATGGACAGAAACAGTTGCGTTGCATTGCTTGGATGATATTGAGATTTCGCGGGACAAGATGTTATGATGGCGTGGTGACATATTGTTCTAGTACTTCTCAAGTAAGCTCATATAGGTGTATTTGTAATCATTTATTCAAAAAATACATCATCATTTCACCATATCACCATCAAAGCAACACGAAGCGGAGAAAATACAAGGATCAGTAAACTCTACTATCGTGAGCGAGTTTCTATAGATGATAAGAACCACCACCACCACCACGACCAAGTTGCTATGTAAGATAAAAAGAATACAACATAGCTAGTAAAGGCCCCATCAAGATCAAGGAGAATGCAACATTGTGTGGATTGACATGTAAGTGGTGGAAACATATCGAAGTTGATGCTATACAAGAGGAAAGGCGGTGATAGCTCGGCACGCACGCACTTGCATGACCCAGGCGCCAGAGAAGATTGAAGAATAAAATGATACCCGAGAGATTTCGGCAATATCCTCGTAGACGACGAGGATCGCCAACGACCAAGAAACTCCCCTCGCGACCGGACTCGCTCCCACTGGCTGGTGAGAGTCTAGGACAACTGCTTGGCTCCGGCTGACTGGTTTGGCGTACGGCTGGTTGCCGCTTGTGCCTGACAATCTACCCCAAGGAACGAGGGTGTTGTCGACCTGGTTACATCATTGGTCAATGTGGTCCTAGGCGTCCCGAGCAGAAGGGCTTGAATGAAGCGAAAGAGGGTACGGTGCCTACAATATCGCATCATGGCTCAGCGGCGCGTCACAGACGAGGTCCCTTAAACCACCTTCCCTCCACCAGGTCATCTTTAGCAACACTACGGAACCAGGTACCTAGACTGTGTAAGTCTTTGTTTGTTGATGATGCCTGCTCCTTGGTCCCCGCCCGCCATTTGTGCTTCACTCCTCAATTAGACCTTTCTCTGAAAACCCGGGAGACGTACAAGTATGTACGTGTCTTGCCCAAGGCAGGCAAGATAGGCCTTGTCCTGGGGGGATTAGAAGATGCTGGATGATCGCCGGGGGTCCCTGAGGTTAGATTGATCCCCCCTCGTATGTATATACTCGACAGAGCACTACGGGCCCTCTTCTCCGGCGCCATGTCTTCACGCCCCTCCCCTGGTCTCCTTGACTCCCTGGAAACCCTTGATATCTGGTCTCAAGCCCCTCGGTCGCTGAGGCGGCGGGACCCTCGAGAGCCACGCGGACGGGACCGATGAGGCTGGCCTGCCAGGGCATCCGACCACGCACACTCCACGCAGGGCACCGCCTAACAAGCCAAAAGGGACCGATCCCCCTCCTGACTTGAGATCTCAACTGAGCATCGTTGACCCGATCCCCTTCGATGCTCGATCGCACTCAGTGGAAGCCGATGCGCTTCATGCTGCCGCCATTCGTTTTTCGCCCCGCTGATCAGACAGACAGACAGAAAGGACCCTTGTTGCTTTTATTTGTTTAACACTCAGTAAACCAAGGAACTTGCCTGACACAGTCGACCCTGCGGTCATCTGCGTACTTTTTATGCCTTGCTGGTTTTTGTGATCGAGTACAGCCGGTGCATACCCATTCGAGCCAGTCTAGTCATTATTCTGGAAGCACTTCGATCTCCGACCGCTTCATTAGGCCGGCTCTGAAACTCTGCTGTGGCCCTACAGCCCGAAATCAAGATTGTTCCCCGGCCGGTATGAAACGGCAATCTTGGATGCTTAACGGAGCCTGAGTCTGGCATAGCACAGCTACCACTTACTGTACTCCCCGGAGGTTTTTGATAAGTTAGTGTTCGAACCCTAAAGCGAGCTCTGTCTCCATCCCGTGGCCCGTTTTGGTTATTCCGCCAGCAGTTCATCAAGATCGTGCTTGGTAGATAGGTATAAGTGGTAGATTTGCTCAGGCCAAGATCTCTCGGCCTGGTCCGACCAGTTGCGTCATTAGAATTGGAGAGAAGAAGTTTCATGCACAAGATGGGGCCTGTCATTTACAAGCGATAGCTCATTATCCTAGACAGATCCCTAAAAGCCCTGTCTGGACTTTGGTGTCCATGTCATCCATCGATCGAAAAGATGAACGCCGCTGTAGCGAAAGGCACAATCAACTACATATCAGATCCAACAGGATCATTTTCATCGACTTTGAGGAGCCCTACAAGAGTTATTCCACCTTGAAGAGACGGAGAGACACTGTATTCAGTTGGCCAAGGTAGCTCGGCTAGAATTCGTGACGTCAATGGGGCGCGATGGAGGTGCTGTAAATAATGCAGATAATTGTCTGCTTGGATGTAAACGCATCCGTCCCCCAAACTGATGATGGTGGAGGGACCCTGAATGCTGGCTTGGCTTCAGGGTTCAAGCAGCACGCCCGATGTACGTGATTGGCAATCCGGAGCAAAACGACCGGAAGGTTGCAGAGATTGGTTTTGAGATCGAGGTTGTACTGATGAAATGGAGGAATACCCTGCTCGTATTGGACCACGGAACATAAAGTTCGTTCGTCCTTGGTGTCAAGAAACCCTGGCATAGGTACAGCAGTACACAGCTGCAAAGTGGAAGTCAATCTGGCGATTCAAAAGAGAGGGGGTGTAAGGAGTCAGAAGCCAGGGTCGATCGAATCAGACAGAACTGAGCCAGTCAGCTTCAACGGAACACATGGGAAACCTCCTCATTCATTAGGTTATCAGGAAGTGTCACTGGGTGTCATTGGCTGCGATGGCTCCTCCAGGCTCCTCCAGGCTCCTTCAACAAACCCCCATCTTGCCGAGATGGGGAAACCAAACCACCTGAGCTGAGTGGAAGCCGAGTCTTCAACAGGGTTCGTCAACTCCATTGCGACACCCTTCGGCGGCCGGGGTTGGGTCCGCGCCCAAACAAACAAATCGCAGGCACTCTTGCGCTGTTGATGGGGCGCTGTGGGATGGATCCTGGAAGAGAAACGACAAGATAGAGTTCCCACGGTGACTACCGGAGGGCATCCGCACAATGATTGGTCAAGAAACATCAAGACGAGGTGACGGGAGGTTTGACGAGAGAATTCAGGTCCTCGGCACGCCATCCTGATGGTCAAGTTACAGAACATGGCATCTCAAATGATGCTGTTGTCTGCCATGTGGCTTCTAAAACAGAGCTACATATTTGGTTTAATCTCGAGCGCTGCAGTACAAACCTGCAAAACCTTGGCAACGAACAACGGGGTTCAGGTTTTTGCTTCCATTGCTGTATGTATGTCGGACTGTACATAGGTAGGTAGGAAGTTTTCGTGCCCTCTGGTACTTGTCATGGGTTAATTGGCCGAACCTCTCGAGAAGTTGCTGCTGTTGCGGCTGGTGCAGGCCATAATGAGTGAAAAATGTTGGCATTGGGTCGGTCCCCACCCTGGAACCACAGTAAAACTCCCTTGATCGCCATTTTCTCGATCTTTTCCGATTATTGGTTGATGGAGTTTCTATCCCTAGTCCTGATGGGAGACCCTTGGGGACGACCCTGGAAGTGTTAGCGTCAAGGGGATTGTCGTCCGCCCCCCGCAGCCTCCACTTTCTACCTGCTTGCGAAGCTGACCAGAGCCGGACACGCTGAGCTGCTGGTGCTGAA